TCTTTATCAATAATGTAAGCCCAGTAAAGGAAAACCATGATTGAGGACATTCATGATTACTTGTTGAAGTTTCTAGACAACAAGTGATGACAGTCAGGGTTCATTGGGTAAAACAAGCCAGAGAAATGAGATAATCTCTTAGTGGAGATTTATGAGCTACAGAGGTCTTGAAATTTTCATCAGATTCAATGTTACGATTCCAGCTTCATCAGTTCAAAACTTGAGATAAGAGTGTAGCTCCAAGTGGACCCTGTACCCATCCCCCGCCCCCAAAAATCAGGGGGAAATCTGCTATCAGTTTTTCTGGACTATCAACGGCTTATGAAAAGGTATTAGACTGTAGGCTATATTAGAGTACTTTCAGTCAGCAACTCTAATGTGCAAATACTTGTATAAGTAGTATGAGGAAGAAATAATCCACATGCTGTAGCTAGCCATGGGAACAGCCTCTGTCCTGAGGCCCCATAGGCAGACTCAAAGCAAGTTTCACATGACTTTGCTCTGTCAGGCAGATTCTTCCAAGGTTTTATTATGGTTGTATCTGCCTGTCATTAAAAATGAATCACATTACACGTTTTAAATATTAGCTGCACAACATTCAAGGTCATAATAGCAGCAGTTCATGTTTATAGTTTCTGAAGCACTTCCCTCACAACAACCCTATTAAGGAAACAGTAAAATTGTGATTATCCGTATTTTGCAGATGAGGTTAAGTCACTTTGCTTACAGTTATGAAGCTAGTAAATGGTAGATCTGGGACTCAAATGTTGGACTTCTCTCTCTCAAGTCTAGTACCTTGTGCTTGTTTATTGCTTGGTTGTGTTTACCCTTATCTCTAAGGAAGCCACATTTAACCTCTTTAGAGGTAAATAATTTCAATTGTTTGCTCTGGCATTTTGTGGTGAGCTGTGGGCCTGGTCATTTTTTAACTGTTAAATTGTTTGTGCATTGAGTTCTCAAAAGTCATTTGCCACAACCATATTCTCTTTGGGATTAACTTACTTTCTGTAAGTTGAAAAGTTGCTGCAGAGTACAGAAGTGCCATTAGTAAAGACTGATTAAAGAAAAAACCAAACAAGGTTTGTTTTAAATCCATAAAAGGATGTGAACCCTTAATCATAGGAAGCAACTCTGGCATCTGACTCCAATTTAAATATATGTGAATATCTAGTTACTTAGGGCATTGCAGATTTAGTTTGCTTATTTTTATGTGCTTGTGCAGAGAGAGAGAAAATGAATTTTCTTATTTGTGCTAGCTGGGCCCTGGTTTCAAGATCTCAAGGACAAGGAAAAACAGCTTCACTAAAAAGGGATAGTTGGGATTTACAAGCATTCTCAGTAGAAGAGATTGTTAAGAGTTTTTAATGGGTTTGGTTTTTTTTTCTTTTATTATTGGACCAATGAAAGGAACTGGTTTCTTTGAAGTTTCTGCATTGTATGAAGGTCTTAGTACCTTACAAAAGAAGGCAGCAAAAAAACTTCATAGGGTCTTAAGGTTTTTGCCTTTAAGAAATACATTTCTGCTGATTCCCACTTCTGAAGCTTGAAAAGTTACATGAGAACTAGTGTTTAAAACAAACAAACAAAAAGGCAGACCAGTCTTGTTGGCAGAAACTGCCTCTGCTCTCTTTTTACTCACCTAGAGGAAGAGCTTTAACGATAAGATTGGAAACTTGGGATCAGATGCAGACCTTCCACAGAAGCCATGCTGTAAATAGAAATATTAACTTGAGGACTTTGGGGAATTTCCTTGGGCAGTATTTATGATTCGTGTTTTCTGCAATCCCTTACACTACAGAGCAAAAGTATATACACTAGTGCTGGTGGAGGAAAGTATAAGCTGTCATTTGAATAAAGCTTTAAGAGATAAATCCAAAGAAATTAACACCAGAAATAGATCTTCACAACGAATAATTCTTTTCTGCATGAACATTTGTTATGTGAGCACAGATGTAAGTCAGATATCAATTTACTCCTTAATTGAGCTGTGTGCATGTGTAGGGTAGTCCAATAAGGTTTTAAGTTAACCAGCACTAAGAAATAACTTAATTTTTTTGAGTGTTCTCCTCTTCTACCAGAGGTTGTGGTGGAAGTGAGTGTGTCTTGTACTAGTGTTAGAGAAGCAACATAGAGAAATGGAAAAAGTATTAGACTTGGAGTAAGGATGACCTGAGTTCAGATCCTCCCTTTGAGGCTAGCTGTGTGACTCTGGTGAAGTTTTGAACCTCAGTTTCTTCATATATAAAATGGGGATAATAATAGCACCTACCTCACAGGGTAGTTGTGAGGAACAAATGAGATGATATACATAAAGTGCTTAGGAAACCTTAAAGAGCTATATAAATGTTAGCTTCTGTTATTGTTGTTATTTGACATGTGCTAATTTTCTTTGATTCCACAACAACAAAATAGTTAAACAGACACACACACACACACACACACACACACTCATGCATGTGCATACAACAGTATTTGTAATAGGAAAGCTATGCTTATGCCATAGTACCCAGCCATTTATAAAGTCAAGTCAGCAAATATTTATTAAGCACCTCCTATGTGCCAGGCACCGTGGTAGGGGCTGGGAATACAAAGAAAAGCAAAGAACAATTCATGCTCTCCAGAATCTCATGATCTAATGGAGGAGACAGCTTGCAAGCAACTACATACGAACAAAATATAGACAATATAAATTGTGACTAATCGATAGAAAGTAGCCCCTGGTGGCAAGGGCGATTGAGAATGGCTTCTTGCCCGAGGTGGGATTTTAGCTGGAACCCAGAGGATCCAGAGAAATCCAGAAGGCAGAGATGAGGAAGAAGAGAATTCCATTCATAGGGGACAGCCAGTGAAAATTCCTCGAGTCTGGATGTAGAGTGTCTAGTGGGGAAAACAGCAGTGACAGTGTCATGGATCACAGAGTACACAGAGGGGAGTAAGGTATAACAGAACTGGAAAAGTAGGAAGGGGCCAGATTAATATCAACTTTAAAAGCCAGAGGATTTTATTTGTGTTCCTGGGGATGATGGGAGATGCCACTGGAGTTTATTGGAGAGTGGAATGATATGGTTATCCCTTCATTTTAGGAAGATCAGTTTGATAGCTGAGTGGAAAATGACCCAAAGGAAGTGAGACTTGAGGTAGGGTGTTGCAGTGGTCCAGGAGTAAGGAAATGAAGATCTGCACTTGGATGACAGTAGTGTCAGGGGAGAAGAGGTCATATCTGATTGATGTTACAGAAGTAATATCAATATGCCTTGACATCAGATTGGATATGGGAAGGGGAGAGGGTGGAGTGGAGAAGGAGGAAACAGTGAGGTAAGGTGAAGGCATATGCCAGTGAGAGAGAATGAGGAGTTGAGGATGACACCCAGGTTGCTGAGCTTGAGTGACTAGAAAGATGGTGAGACCCTCAACAGAATTAGGGAAATTAGGAAGAAGAGAGGGTTTGAGGAAAAGATAATGATAAAGATAAATCCTATTTTAAATGAAACAGATAGTCATGACAAGAATATAAATAGGCCATGTAGCATAGTAAATAGAAGACTAGTCCTGAAACCAGGAAGACCTGGATTCCCAATCTCTGAGTGCTCCAGGCAACTCTCCAACTCTAAATTACAGAGAAGATTCTGATCAATATTGATAGGATGCTTCTCACATGACAATTCCCTATACCAGTGAAATCATCCCTATCCCTATCTCTGCCCTCAGGGAGCTTACCTTGTAATAGGGTAGGACATCTATTAGTCTGTGTGATAGCCAGGGAAGAGTGTTTTGTTTTGAAAAGTCAAGAGAGTGAGTAGAGTCATAAGATGATGTCTAGTAGACAGTATGCAACGGTAGCGTAGATTTGGTTACTGTTCCCTGTGCAAGAGAAGGCTATGCCTGTGACTTCCGGGTAGATTCAGGTGACTAGGGGCAACTAGATGTGGAGAGCCCTCCCCTCTCAGGACAGCACAACCCACTGAAGGGGACCGCTGGAGGTCTGGCTGGAAAGGTCAGCAGCGTCAGGGTGGCAGAGCAGGTAGATAAGATTAAGCCTTTCTTGAGGCTACCTTCAATAATTCTATTTGGGAATTTTTTTAACTTAGTGTTTCTGTATTAGGGTTGTCTGTTCTTTGAACAATCATGACTTGTCAGAGTTGAAGTTGGGCAGCTGATAAAAATTCCCATAACATATTTGTAGTTCTTTAATCGGGTGGGATCCTTAGTTAGACTGGAAAACTGAAAATCCAACAATGGAAATACGTGGAGCACCAAAAATTAATTTGTGTATCAGGACAGAGAGAAAATTGGCTAAGTTTCTCATTGTTGTAACTTAAATACCTCAAAGTTTTCATAATTTCATCAGTATGGTGAGTAGTCCTTCAACCAAAGCAAATTGCAGCCCCTTTATACCTTATTAGATGATGGCCTAAATGAGTTGCTATGATCAAAAAAATCATCAAGTGGTAGTAATGAACCTTTCTAGTGGTCCTCAGATGAAAGTCCCCCTGTCCTCCTTTGGGCCCATACTCAGAGCTTTTCCAGTATGGTAGGGCTTGCCCTGCATATCCTTCATGAACCCAGGGGTCAGCTCTTCCCCACAGTGAGGCATCAGAGAAGATCATAAAAACACCACCTGGTAATTTTGCTTTGTCACTCACTGTGTTGACCAGTTGTATGAATGATTCTTACCTATATCTCAGTTATGTTTGTTTTCTTGTGTCTAGGTCCATTTAGCTTGCCATATATAGCATCTGTATAGTTCAATTAATAGTTTGATGTTGCCAGAAACAAATTTTATAGGTTTGGTGTCTACACCCTCTGATTTACGTAGTCCTAAACAACAAGGTATTTGCTGCTAGTAAAGATTTGGGAAGATTCTTTTGCATACCCTAAGCATAGTAATAAATCAAAGAAATTTTAACATTCCAAGAGCCTTGGGAGTTTGAGCTAATAAAGTGAAGCTAATGCTTGTCATTTGGCATTTTAGTGATTTCTTTTCCCCTTTCCCATCACAGTAATATCCGATGTTTTAAGATTGACCAGCCTTCAGCCGGTGATGCTTCAGGGGCCCCAGCTGTATGGAGCCATGGCTACACAGAAGCCTCGGGTGTAAAGAATAAGTAAGTGGATGACTTTGAAACAACAGGTGATGCCTTCCTTCTTCTCACAGTCCAAGTGAGAAAGAAGAAGAACCCAGTGCTTGCTTTTCTCATACAAAATCTAGTGGAGGACATTTTTCTCCCCAGAGTGAGATGGTGCCATGACTTATATTTGAACACTAAGCTATGCCTTCACTGGTGGGCAGCACTCATACTCTTTCTTTGTTACAGTGGTTGCTAGGAGATGGTGTGACTGACACATTATGTCTATAAGATGCCAGTGTTTAGAAAAGGCCCAAGTGTTGGAATATATCTCTGCTGCTTTAAAAAGCCCCTTTATCTTCCTCTACAGCCTGCTTACCAAGCAAAGCACATAGACCACTAAAAGAGGAGTGGCTTGGATTGTCCATAGTCAATGTCCCTTAGATTATTGACCAATTGATAGTTTTATGGGGCTGTTTTGTTGTTTTTACTTCCCATCCAAAGTGGCCATTCCATTGTCAATACTCAACACCTGTTTCCTGCAGTATGTCTTATGTTGCCAATGGGTCTCTGTCCATCTTAATTTCTGATTTTTTTTCCCCAGTTTTCCCTTTCTTTTGGGTCAGGGTGCTGGTTTTCTTTAGACTACCAGAAATAATCCATGTGATCTGACTCTTGTTGTTTGGTCATTTCTGACCTTTGATGTTTTAGGGGGGTGTGGAATGAAAGAATCTTATCAATTAGTAGATTTGTTATTACATAGCAAAGGAAGTTTTAAAGCCCTCAAGAAGAAGGTAATAATCACTTCCCTACCCTCCAGCTTTGACTATTGGCTGTAAAGAAAACTGGTGGATTAAACAGAGGCTCTTTGAATCATTCCCATCAAGCCAAATGCTTTCCCTTGGTACAATACACAGAAACAACTTAAGCTGTGAAATACTGATCCTTCTCTTTCTGTCCCTGAGATTCCATGTGATGGTGTCATATTTTCAGTAGCTAAAGACTCAGTGTCCCTATCACACCCACTATTTCGTTTTCCATCTTGTTGACGATGGACGCACTGGGGCACCTGGGGAAGTTTACCCACCTTCCCTCTGAAGTGTAGCTATTGCATAATTTCGGTGTACTTTAAATTTAATTTCATTGTAACAGGTAAGAACAATTAGCATATTCATTAGACAGACTTCCATTTTTTATTTTTTTTAAAGAATTATTGTATGATTAAAAAACCGTAACTTTATTATAATCATTCAAGCAAGCATTTATTAAGTGCCTACTATATGAGTGAACATATGTGAAAAAGATTAACTGAACTTCGGGTATTGCCTGAAATGCAAGACTGTAGAAATAAAATGTATTATCATATACTCACCCATATTATGATTAGGACTGAAGAGCTTGGTGTAGGTAGAGATCTTTCTTATGTGTGTACTCTGCCTACCTAATTATTCTTTCTTGACTACTCTTTTCCCCTTCTTTGAATAGTAACTACTTTATTTATGGAGGCTTCTGACATACTTTGTCCTTGAGACCAGGTAGAGAAGGTAGAGCTCACTTCTTGCCACTGGTTTTGAGGAAGGAAGATATGTTAGCCTCACCTTCCCTGGGCTGAAGGTGCAGAGCTGTTTTGTCTTCTAATGTGTTTCTAACTCTTTGGAGGAATCAGAAGGAATAGCAAAAACTGTACACCTACTAGATTCTTTCTCATTTAGCATGGTCTTCTTAAGGCAAAGATGTTTTTTACAGCAAGCCTGAAGTTCCAAAAGAAAGAAATTCTGTTTGTGAACATTGTTAACCTATCAGTTATTCCTTGAAAAGTATTTCTCCAGAATATACTGTCTCACTTGAAGTAGTTTTCATTCCAATTAAAAAAAAAAGAGAAAGAGAGAGAGAGACAGACAGACAGACAGACAGACAGACATTAAATGAAGAAAGACATCTTAGGAGCTTGTGATACTCTTTAACTTTCCCATGGGTGCTGTGTAACTTTGGATAAATTACCGCTTTTCAGATGAATGAAAAAGCACCATTAGGCGCTTACTGTATTAAAGCATTGAAGGTACAAATAATCCCTGTTTTCAGAGAGCTTACTTTCTAAAAGGAGGAAGAAACACATAAAGGAGGTTTCAGCTACATGTTATTGCAGTGGTTGTTAGGGTGCTTCACAGAGATTAATTAAGATTAATTAATAATTAAAATTAATTAAGGAAAGACATGCATAAAGCTGAATGAAAATTACTAATGGTAGGGGCAGAACAGGACCCCATACACTTGCACCTACTTCTCACACCATCCCCCTTCCTGGTTTCCATTTTAAGAGTAGAAATATCAGGAGAGAAAGGGGAAAGGGGGAGATAATGTCCATAAATTAAAGGATAAAGTATTCTGATTACTCCTCTCCAATAGGACATTAGTTCTGACATAAGATAAAGTGGTTCAAACTAGTTAAATCCTTGTTCTAAATCTGATTTAAGTCACCAAATTTATCTCCTGTATGTAGAATATCAGTGAATGAGACAACAAATGACTGCATAATCTCTAATATCATCTGAATCACCATAGTTTTCATAGAAAGCATGTGTGCCAGGTGCTTGTTAGATCCAGGCCTGGCTGTAGGTATCCCTCCTGACAGAAGCAGTGGAAAGGAAGCTTAACCATGCTTTGACTCTTAAAACCAGCATCCGATGCTGGAGAGGAAGGAGGGAAGAAGAGAAAAGGGAATGAGTTTGGAGAAAGAAAGATGAGCGAAGTTAACCCTCAGGTTTTGGTCCCCCTCTCACCCCTTCTTCTCACTTTCTTAGGTTGTGTGTTGCAGCCCTGTCAGCGAATAATTTCTGTGACAACCGAGAGGCTCTATATGGAGTCTTTGATGGAGACCGCAATGTAGAAGTGCCGTATCTTCTTCAGTGCACCATGAGTGACATTCTGGCGGAGGAACTACAGAAAACAAAAAATGAAGAGGAGTATATGGTCAACACTTTCATTGTCATGCAAAGGTGAATTTCAGAGCTCCTTGAGCCATCCATGGGTAGCCATAACTCAATCAATCATTCATCAACAAGGATTTATTCAGTAGTAATTATGTGCCAGACACTTTGTGAAGGGGTACAAAGACAGAAGTGAAGCAGTCACTGCCCTCAAGGAGCTTACTTTCTAACGGGGAAGTTTTAATAGGGTTTCTTTGGGTGGTCTCCTTCTGCCTTTGTGTTTGTCTAGGGAAAAAAAATTGGCATGCACGTGCACGTACTACACACGTTATTAGGGTGTGTGCTGGTTATCAGAGCTCTAAGGACCTCACGTGAGCCATTCTAAGCACCAGGGTCCCACCTGTGCTTTTAAGGAGTCCAGCTCAGTTTCAGGCTTATCACACTTTGAGAGCACTCATTATGTAGCTAAGTGAATGCCCTCAGGGACTTGAGTCCACCTGAAACTGAGCCCTGGGCACTTGTGATCCCCAGCCTTGCTATAGAGTGGACCTGAAGCTGCAGAAATGATGGGACTTCTTGGAGCTCCCCTAGACCTCCCCGAGTTGGGATCTGTATTTAAAGATTATTTTTCCTTTCTATATTGTCCACCTTTGTGAAATTCTATTCACCATTGAGGGATAGTGGAACTTATGCTCATATATTTTCAGAGTTGAGATAGTAACATTTTAGGCCAAAGAGTTGTGTTTCTTCCAGACCAGTTTCATTTTTGTTAACAGGAGGAAATAGTGTTCCTAATGGCCTTTTGGGTCATTCCCAAAAGCACAATGTGTTTGATCCTATGTAGGCATAATGTTGGCTGTGCTTTGGAAGGTGTGAAATGTTGTTCCCATTGTCTGACTCTCTAATGAAAACAGATGGTAGGGGTGGGAGGAACAAATTCTGATGGCTTTTTACCAGCACCTTTTCAAAGAAAGCTCTATACCAGGGGTTCTTAGTCTTTTCTGTGTCACGGGACCCAGTGCAGTCTGGAAGCCTATAATCCCCTACTCAGAATGTTTTAAAGTATTTATGTATTTTTGAGTTCACAGACTCCAGGTTAAGAACCTTCTAATATAAAGAAGTAGGTGAGGATTCTTACCATCTACCTCTAGAGCCAGAAGCTTCTCATGAGACCTGCTGTTGCAAACAGGACACAAGGTCATTACAGTGGGAAAAGTAACTTCCCCTCCAGTCTGAGAACAAGGAATCCCTCATTCAAATGATTGCTCATTCCTTTGTCACTTTGATGGCTAGGTGGGTTGTAAAAGGATTGTATCTGAGTCAATAAATTCTATACTGCAAATACTTGCAAGATGGGACCAGGACGAAAGAAGTACTTGTGTTAAAAAGGTCATGGAAACAATGAAGCTCTTCTCAGTCTTCTTTCCTGCCCCCTAACCCTCTCCCTGACCCCCCTATCCCTACCCCAAGAACCTGGTGCCAGATTGTAATCAGGGGAGGAAAGTACATACTGAGTTGTGAATAGCTGGAATCAGACTCCCTGGGGACCTTTGTAGGGACTTTTTAAAGATCTCTGTGGAACTAAGATGGTGGGATGTGCTATTCTCCTGCCCCCTGCATCTTGTTGTACAGCCTCCTTTTGACCATTGATCACTGGGGTGTGAAGCACAACTGCTAAGACACATACCTACCATTTTCTTTTTGCCCCAGTGGTACCCTCCCATCTCTGAAACAAAAAGCAAAGTTATCCTGTAAGTAGCTATGAATAGTGAGTAATCACTAAGAAGATTTTACAGATAAAGCTCTGTTATTCCTGGGGAGGGAGGCTTTTCTCTAATTAAATTTTCTTTTGAGGGATACTAAGGCAAAGGGGGGAGGATTGGAAGTAGTGACCCTACTCCCACCGGAGGTTCTCTGTTCACTGGGTTTGCTATCCTAGTGCTTTTCACCAATGTGATGAGGAGGAAAATCTTCACTTCCCTGAAGGGAAGTCTAGAGCCTCACTTACTCTGGCAGGGCCTGGGAGCCTCATCTGGAGAGTAGTAGCCACAAGAATTGAGAGCTCCTGGACCTCATTTGCTTCATTTTTCTCATTTGTTAATGGAGCATGCCGCATGATAGGGTTTGAAATCTTAAGAGAATTGCAGATTCTTTGGTCACAGGATCCTAGTGCATAATGAGCCTAGTGCATTAAGAGCCTTGGGTTTCATTCCTAACTTTTCCACAAATTAACCCAAAGCGAGTGACTTAATCTTTCATTCTCCATTTGTGAACTGTTAGTGTTTCTGTTATCTTCCTGTTGCCCATAAAGGGATAATAGGAGCATAAATGATATGAAGGATAACGTAGCTAATAGTGCTTGATCTGGGCCTGAGGTGTTTGTCAGAACTTGCAGGTGCAGTTGGTGTCCTAATGGGTCTGTGGATTAGTGACCACAAATAAAAGGTTAAATCAGAAGTGCTAGAACGGACAATGTCAGTTTACAAAAGCTCCTTTGTACACATCAGGAAAGTGGATTGCCCAGGACTTCAAGGCAAATACACACACACACACACACACACACACACACACTTTGAAAGACAGAAAAGAATCAGTGAATTTTTAAGTGTATACATGTCCACATATAGGCCCTCCTCTTTAGTAATTGACACTTCCGCTTCCCAATCTTAGGCCCAAAGAATGGGAACCGAAGGAACAAGTTGATTGTTGTCTAGAGAATGTGGTGCCTGAGAAGTGTGTGTGATTTGTGTAGCCAACTGTGTGTAGAGCACAAGGGCTCCTTTATTCCAGTTGATTCCTGTAGCTTTTAATGGCAGAGTGACTCTTCCCACTAGTTGTGTTGAGATTCCCTTTTGTATAAGTAGGTGTGTAATATGTCAAATTCCACACTAGCTTTCTTCCTGCGGGAAGCTTAGTCCTTCGGTGAAAAGAGACTGAATTGAACTCTAGTGAATTCTGCAGGGCTCTTCTTGCCTCCTGCCCTGTGCCCAGTTGTGTAGCCACTCCTGTGAAAGGAACAAAACTAATGTGTGATGCCCTGTGTTTCTCCCTTCCCCTCAAATTCTAGGAAACTTGGAACTGCTGGGCAAAAACTTGGGGGCTCTGCTGTCCTGTGTCATATAAAGCATGATCCTATGGACCCCGGAGGATATTTCACCTTGACCTCTGCTAATGTGGGAAAGTGCCAAACAGTTCTCTGCCGGAATGGGAAACCTCTGCCTCTGTCGAAATCCTACATCATGAGCTGTGAAGAGGAGTTGAAGAGAATCAAGCAGCATAAAGCCATTATCACTGAGGTGAGGACATAGCTCCCCTCTGCTGGGAAAGAGGAGGGACACCCTAAGCCTTGCCACTCTTTCCCAAAGACCTAGCCTGCCATCATTTAGCCAGAGTCTTTCATTTGGGATAATGTGACATGAAACTGGATTAAAGTCAGAATCCTAAACTCAAATGGCATTTATCAGGTTGCTTTCAGACCGATCAAGAGATGTTCTTAGGGCATTGGGTTAATACGTCCTTGATCTGATTTGTAAAATGGGGATAATGATGGCACCTACCTCACAAAGTTGTTGTTAAGAGGCAGCTTGGTAACACAGTGGATAGAGTGCTGGACTGGGACTCAGAAGGCCTATGTTCAAATCCTGCCCAAGATACTTAGTAGCTGTGGGACCCTGGACAAGTCATTTAAACTCTGTCTGTCTCAGTTTCTCCATTTGTAAATGAAGATAACAATAGCACCTACCTCCCAAGGTTGTTGTGAGGATCAAATAATATTTGTAAAGTTCTTTGTAAACTTTAAAGAACTATTTTAAGTGCTTATTTTTGTTGTTGTCCTTGTTGTTAATAAGATCAAATGAAATAAGATAACTTTGCAAAACCTTAGAGCACTATATAAAATATCAGCTCTTATTATTATGTTTTTCAGTGACATCAAGAAAAAAGTGTAACTTAGAAAGTCTAGATAGTAACACCACCAGGTCTGCCTGAGCTCTTAATTGTTCACTGTCTCTTTGCTTGGGTTTGGTTGCTCCAGGGTTTATTAATGAAGTCATATTGTAGCCTCAGGAGATTTTTCACCTTTAAACCTTTCCTCTTGCCCATTCATAGAGTTATGCTGAAGTTCCAATGTAATTATTTTCTTGGGTCTGCAAGCATAGGTGAGACAGATTTGTAACATGTTTACTTGTTTCTTAATTATCTTTCTATAATGAAAACAGGAAAGTGGATGCTATGAGCAGTTTGGATATGTTAAGAAGCTGATATACGTTTAAGGAAATAAGTACCAGGGATGACTTGGGAATTGGAGATTTCTTGTTTTAAAACCCCCAATGAAATTTTTCCTTGATTCTTTAAAAGAATTCCTTTCTCCCCTACTCCTTTCTGTTTGGTGGGTTTTTTTTTGTTGTTGTTTTGTTTTTTGTTTGTTTGTTTACTATTAGCATTAAACTAAGTGGGATTGGGATTTCATTGAGCCCTATACTTCCAAAAGGATAGAAAATTGTCTCCTCTTGTTGCGTCTGGTAGAACAAAATATAAAAGGTTCATGAGGTGCTACCTTAAGGAAGGTTTGCCCTTAAACTTTGTTTGCAACCTTTTTATTTTTAACTTATAATACGTTTTATAAAGTTACCCTGTTTTGGAATAGAGCATGACAGTTTTGTATATGTCTGTTATATAACTCCTTTTATAAAATCATGATTCTCAGGGCAGCTAGGTGGCACAGTGGATAGAGCACCAGCCCTGAAGTCAGGAGGACATGAGTTCAAATCTGGCCTCAGACACATAACACTTATTACCTGTATGGCCCTGGGCAAGTCAAAAAAAAAATATCATGATATTCTCTCTGTATTGTCTCTATTTGGAGACATCTATTGAAGTCAAAGTTTATAAATTAAGATGAAAATCTACCATCAGTAGATCACACAAAAGCAAATAGCTAAAATTATTAGCTGAAGAAGAAGGCAGACCACCTGATTATAAAAGTAACAAGCCATTCCCCAGTCGATAAACTGTCAAAGGATATAAACAGGCATTTTTCAGAAGAATTCAAAGCTATCAACAGTCACATGAAAAAATGCTTTAAATCACTAGTGATTAGAGAAATGCAAATTAAAATAATTCTGAGATACCACCTCACACCTATCAGACTGGCTAACATGACAGAAAAGGAAAATGATGCATGCTGGAGGGGATGTGGAAAAATTGGAACACTAATGCACTTTTTGTGGAGTTGTGAACTGATCCAACCATTCTGGAGAACAATTTGGAACTATGCCCAAAGGGCCATAAAACTGCATACTCTTTGACCCAGAAATACCACTACTAGGTCTTTATCCCAAAAAGATGAAAGAAAAGGGAAAAGGATTCATATGTACAAAAATATTTATAGCAGTTCTTTTTGTGGTGGCAAAGAATTGGAAATCAAAGAAATGCCCATCAGTTGAGGAATGGCTGAACAAGTTGTGGTATATGATTGTGATGGAGTATTAATATAACAAGCAGGATGGTTTCAAAAAAGCCTGGGAAGACTATATTAACTAATGCAAAATGAAGCGAGCAGAAGCCGGAGAACATTGTACACAGTAACAGCAATATCATAAGGACAATAAAATTATGAAAGACTTGCTACGCCGATCAAGACAGTGATCCAAGACAGTTCCAAAGGACCCATGATGAAAAATGCTGTCCACCTCTAAAGACAACTGATCAACTCTGAATGCATATTGAAGCATACTTTTTTAAACTTTATTTTTCTCCTTTTTTTTTTTTTTTTGGTCTGTGTTTTCTTTTGCAACATGGCTAATAAAGTTATATATTTTGCATGACTTCACATGCATAATTGATATCAAATTGCTTGGGGTGGGAGGGAGGGAGAGAATTTAGAACTCATTTAAAAATGACTGTTAAAAAAATTACATGTAATTGGGAAATATTTAATGAAATAAACTACAGTAAAAAATTTTTTTAGAAAAGACTTCATAAAAATAGTTGTCATTTATGTACAAATATGAGTTGCTGAGGATGAAGCAGTAGAGAAATTCCATGGTGAAATTAAATCAGCATATACTCTGACACTTGATGACTTCAATGAAAAGGAAAGAAATGATGAGGATGGGAAGAATTACAGAAGAAAAGAGAGAGGAATTAATATGACTCAGAATTAAAAAATGAAAGACCAAAGAAATCTCATATAATGAACACCAAAAAAAAAAAAAAAAGAATTGGTAGGTACTAGAAATGGAAAGCACCAAATAATAGCACAAAGAATTAAATAGATTACATTTTTAACAGATGGGAAAAGACTTATTTTAGATGTGGGAGTTATCTTTGAGTCAGCTGTCTGTGCAGTAGAAGCTAAGATCAGAATTTATAATAAACAAAAAGAAAGAATAGTCTTGAGAAAAGAATATGGTATATAGTTAAAAGGATTTAACCCTGAATTATTTAAACAAGTGATTGCCAATAAAAATGGGAAATGGACAACAGAAGTAATATCAACAGCAAGGGTAATAATTTCATCCAGAAGTTAAACCACTATAAGTCAATTGCTGCATCAAGGAGACCAAGAGCCCAAAAGGCTTCCAAGTCAGCAAACATTTAACTAACTTGCCAAGTGGAGAAATATGGTTGCCAATGGCATTACCAGCTTATGATATAAACTGTGTGTAAAATCTTACAAAAAAGATAATAGACAATTATGAGCTGTTAAGAGTGGGCCTAACACCAATATCCTGTTAATTTAGGATTCGGAAGACCTGAGTTCAAATTTGGGCTGACACTAGCGGTGTGACTCTGGACAAGTCACTTAACCCAATTTGCCTTTGTTCTTCATTTGTAAAATAAGATGGAGAAGGAAATGGCAAACTACTCCAGTGTCTTTGCCAAGGAAACCCCAAATGAGGTCATGAAGAGTCTACCACAACTGAAAACTGAATGAACAACAACTATGAGGTAATCATAAGTCATTAAGTGATTAACAAAAAGAGGTTTACTCTGCCCTAACAGAGCAAGGATTTCCAACAAGAATACAGTGAGACTTATCTTCAGCTTTAGTGAATGGAGCCTGCCTTGTCTCCTCATGGAAATCGTCTATCTGGTCAGCAGGGCAGGATAACTCAAGCACCCACAAAGTCTGACAGGCCTAGACTCCGCGTAGAGGGACTTTTAATGTTCTTACGTGTCAGGAGAAGCAGAGGCCAATCAACTCCTACAGACAGCTTTGTCTCTTTTTTTTTTTTTTTTTTTGGCTTGGCAATGGGGTTAAGTGACTTGCCCAGGGTCACACAGCTAAGTAAGTGTTATGTGTCTGAGGCCGGATTTGAACTCAGGTACTCCTGAATCCTAATCCTGAATAGGTGCTCTATCCTGTGTGCCACCTAGCTGCCCCTCGCTTTGTCTCTTCTTATGGAGAAATATTGGTAGACATTAGCCTCATCACATTATCGGTATTACCTCAAAAAGCAGGGAAAGGTAAAATCAGTTTAAAGCAAGCTGGGCAAGATGTCCAACTAGGTAAAGTCATCCCAAGGGCATTCAAGGTGAAAACAGAAAAAGGACTGCAAACAGAAGGAAAATGGAAAAGATTTGCAAAAATTATTACAATAGACTTTCCTCCATCAGGCATAGTGGAGCCACCACACCTGGGCCCTGACATCACAGTCCCTGAAGTGCATACACAAGAAGTAGAAATGGCACCAAAAGGAACAAAGATGGGAAAAGTAGCTGAATTGAATCAAATACATATAGAGGGTCTTTGATGAAGGTGATACAGTTGTAAAGGCATTGTAGGACTGGTTGACAAAGTACTTAAAGGAAGGAAAGATACCAAAGGAAAAAATCTCAGACCTTTTTATACCAGAAAAAGTTAGCAAGAAAACATCAGTAGCGATTGACCTTTATGCCTACTCTCTCATCTATATAAAAAGTATTTATGAGAACACCCTTGATGAGGGTATCAGCAAGTAGGCTTTTGCAAACAATATTCAACTTCAGACCATCTTGCAATTGACAAAAAACTGTGGAAAATATAAGATCCCATTGTGCTTATCGTTTGCTAATTATGGGGAAAAAAACATTGAACTTGGTGTAACAACAAGGTGTCTCCCATTGATATATCAAGATCATTGAGGATTCCTTAGAAGATTCTACAGCAGAATACTCTGATAATAAACATCGGAAGAGACATAAAACAGAAGGAGAGAAAGATATATGCTTGCCAAAGTGTTTGCCAATGTAATAAAAGAGATCCAGGACGGAGTCCAGGTCAAGAAGGGATAATCCCTGAGGATAGTGAAATTCCCCAAATGATCCTGTTTTCAAATGATAATATGTTAATTACATCAAGTCCCAAGACATCACAGACCCTCCTGGAAGAAATCCATAATCACTCAAAGAAGTTTGATTGTTTATTTCCACTGACAAGACAAAATGGATAAAAAATGTCTATGTTGCCTGCAGTTGAACTTATATCTGATTGGACACCCTATATGAACTCATCCAACAGAGTATGTATGGAACAAATAACATAGATGGACAGTGAGCTGAAAAGGGGGAGAGCTGCCTGAATTGCTTTAATGAGATTGCAAAGCACTTTTGCTGACTAGTAATATGAAAGACCCATCTTTTCATTAGAAACACTTTAGCAGTGTCGCTGTGTGGCCTCATGACGTGAAACTCTACATGAAAGATTAAAGATAAGCCTCACATAAAGGGAAATGGAAAGGCTAATGGTAGGTATGAGCAGGCTGCAGTGAGGAATTCCAAAGAACAACAGGAGTATGAGATACCATCAAAAAATCGTCAGACAGAAAGGCTGGTGGCAAGAGTGTGGGATGCTCATGAGGATGCTCCACAAGTACCTTTTCAGTGTCAGGAGAAATCCCTACTAAAATTCCATCTTTTACAGTAAGCCTTTCCCAACCCTTCTTAATTCTAGTACCTTCCCTCTGTTAATTATTTCCTCTTTGTCTTGTATATAGCTTGCTTTGTTTATATTTGTTTGCCTAGCTCCAATCAAATTGTAAGCTCTTTGAGGGCAGCTCTTTTGCCTTTTTATATCCCCATCACTTAGCCCAGTGCCTGGTACATAGTAGGTACTTGTTTATTGATTGATTATTGAAATTAAGGAAGAAGCCAACTGGTGGACCAGTTGTGGTAACTCATGAGAGGGCATAGATAAGAGTAGCCCTGGGTGGGTTATGGTCTTACTTATTGGAACAAACTCCTGAATTGATGACGTGGCAGATCTATTTTAGCATTTGATTTTGAGTAAGGAAGAAGTTGGTGCTAGGAAAGAGGCAGATCCTTCTGGCGGAGAAGTTTCTTCAGTGAAATGCTGGATCTACCTTCCTCCTTAATGTGCTGTCGTCCTAACTCTGCTACATTACCAGAAAGTATTTAGTCTTGCTAGATGCAGCAGATTAAGGAGTATTAAAGTCAGTATGGGTCCAGATCTAGAAATTAATCACCTGTTACATGTGGAAGCTGAGAGTCAGTGCAGAAGAATCTGAAGGGACTAGAAGTCCCTCTAAAGACAAAAAGGCTTAAAAAAAAAAAAGCAAAACTGGGATACAATTATATTTGCAGTAGCAAAAAGAAGCAATTTAGCAAAGACTTTGTCTAGGTAGAATGTAATTGTTTCAAGATGTGAATGTACAGATATGTCTCCCCCTCAAAAAGTGTGTGATTGGCCTTCATAAAGTTGAAGTTATCGGTCCCTCCCTTTGTCTACCTTTACATCCTGTTAGTCTTACCCTTGAAGGACTTCCTTAAAGATGTAAATAATTTCTAGACTTTGTGACTTGGTTTGCCTCAGCCCAGCTGACGGGAATTCAAATTGGCATTCTCTGGTTTCACATTTGTAAGCCGTAAGTTTGGAGGGAAGAAGAGTGGCGTGCTTTTGAGAGAATTTTCTTTCTCTCATAGAATCCTGTAGAGCTGTAGTGGAAGTTAACGATCCTACAAGAAGTCCATCCTCTTCCAGCTTATATGCTTGCATGCGTTAGCTTCAGTCTCCTTTTGTCTTGGCACTCCTTAATCCTTATATATTTAGGGCAATTCTTCTCTACAAAGTGACATCGACTAAGAAGGCTACCAAAAGATCTGCCCTCTCTTTCCTGCCTACTCTGGTATTCTGGAGTTTATGATGACAGCAGAGAGATAGCAAATGCCCTTGCCTTCCTGGGTCAGATCTGCAGCAGTCCTTTCCCTGTGGATGGGGTGATGCTAAAAGGAGTAAGCACAGATGACTGCTGGGCATATCGATGTGAAGTTGGCTTCTTACTCTTTGTCTTGTCTCTCCCTCCTCCTGCAGGATGGCAAGGTGAATGGAGTAACTGAATCCACGCGGATTTTGGGCTACACCTTTCTCCACCCAAGTGTTGTTCCCCGTCCCCATGTGCAGTCAGTGACATTGACACCACAGGATGAGTTCTTCATCTTGGGCAGCAAGGGGCTGTGGGATAGCCTGTCCATCGACGAGGCAGTCCAGGCTGTGCGGAACGTGCCTGATGCCTTAGCTGCAGCCAAGAAGCTGTGCACTCTGGCCCAGAGTTACGGCTGTAACGACAGCATCAGTGCCGTAGTGGTGCAGCTCAACGTCACTGAGGACAGCTTCTGCTGCTGCGAGCTCGGCGGAAGCGGGGTCCCCCCTCCAAGCCCAGGTATCTTTCCTCCCTCAGTCAATGTGGTGATCAAAGACCGGCCTTCTGACGGGCTCGGGGTGCCCTCCTCCAGCAGCGGCATGGCCTCTGAAATCAGCAGTGAGATCTCCACCTCAGAGATGAGCAGTGAGGTGGGATCCACAGCCTCAGATGAGCCCCCCCCAGGAGTGCTGAGCGAGAGCAGTCCTGCCTACCCCAGCGAGCAGCGCTGCATGCTCCATCCTGTCTGTCTGTCCAGCTCCTTCCAGCGACAGCTCTCCAGCGCCACCTTCTCCAGTGCCTTCTCTGACAACGGCCTCGACAGCGACGACGAAGAGCCCATTGAGGGTGTCTTCACCAATGGCAGCAGGGTGGAGGTGGAGGTGGACATTCACTGCGGCCAAGCCAAGGAGAAGGAGAAGCAGCAGCAGCAGCAGCAGCAGCAGCTGCTTCAAGCGCCGGCAGAGGCCAGTGATGAGGGCATAGTTATCAGCGCCAACGAGGATGAGGCGGGTCTGCCCAGGAAGGCCGACTTCTCTGCCACCGGAACCATAGGGCGCAGGCGGGGTAATGGCTCTGTGGCACCCCAGGAGAGGAGCCACAACATGATAGAGGTGGCTGCTGAGGCGCCCCTCCGAAAAACAGGGGGCTACTTTGCAGCCCCAGCTCAGCCCGACCCTGACGATCAGTTTATCATCCCACCTGAGCTGGAAGAGGAAGTCAAAGAAATCATGAAACACCACCAGGAGCAGCAGCAGCAGCAGCAGCAGCAGCAGCAGAGGCAGTATCAGATGGACCACCTGCCGGACTATTATGATACACCACTATGACCCAGTGCAAGTACTGTTTAAAAAATAATAATAAACTAACCAGAAAAGACTGAGTCGAAAGAGTCTCCCAGGCTCACATTAAACCAGGGGTTTTACTCCACTTTGTCCTCCCTTCCGCTCTCCCTAACTCCGTCATTTGCCTTTGCAGCTAATCTGTAGGTCCTCTCCTCTGTTTGTTATTTTTTAATAATTACCATGTTTCTTCTAGTGATGCTTTACCAATATGATTTTAACTGGTTAACCCTTCCCCTTCCCCTTTCCTCCTCCCCTAACATATCAGAAGTGTAAAGACAAAGAACAAAAGGTTTAATATATTGCAGAGAAACAGATAATGGTGATGTAATATTTTTTAAAAATGGCTTTTTTTTTTTGTTGTTTGTTTGTTTGGAAGACAGGGCAGGTTGCCAGTTCTCAATGATTCAGTAATATTGTAATACTGTATTTCTTTGGGGGGGGGGAAGGCTTTTTTTTTTTTTTTTTGGTCTTGAAAATGATAGACATTTGTAGAATATGGAGACTAACTCCTAGGAGTTGCTTTACTCTGTCAGGTGACTGAAGTCACTGAGATTCACTAATTTTCTCTGAGAGAACAGTTGATTGGGAAATTATTACTGTAAATAGCTCAGTGTTGTATAGTGATGCTTAAAATGTTTTGTAGTCTCAGCATAAGGACACAGCCTGAATAACTGACTTTGTGTTCTCCTCCTCCCACCTCCCCACCAAGTCCCACCTTATTTATACCTGGCCCTCTAGGGACTTTGGTTCACGCTCATTTTGTGGTGAGCCTAAGTGGCCAGACCAGCTATTTACAAATAAGGTGGTTCTTAGGCCACTGCATAACAACCTGCATCCAGTGGGCCTCTGATTTTTCCCCTTCTCCTCTTCCTTCCCTCAAATACCTACTTTTCCAGACATTTTTTATTTGTGTTCCTTATTGCTGCCACAACCAGCATGATTGTATAGAACTCATTTAGATCATTTACATACCAAGAGTTATATTAAAGCAGAATGCACAAATGAACATGTCATAATTTTTGTTATAATAAATATAAAATTTACAAGTAATGGGCCCATCTGCTTTTGTCTGAGCAGTCAGGATTGTCTTAAGAACTACATTATCCACTACGGACTTGGAGGACTGGGGTGCTTTGGAGGTGTTTGTGGTTTGTCGTATGGCTTCTGTGTTGGTGAATATAAATCCTTTGTGATTATTTTTTTATAATAGAATAGCCTGGATTGAAAAAGGAAGCCAAATTTTCCCTAATTCCTATTGGTTCTTGTGGCTGGTCTCGTAGCCTTGTCTGAATAGGAATGGGGGAGTGGTTGGAAGCTGCAACAGTTTTCCTTGTCCTGCAAACTCACAGGATCATATGAGCATTTTATCATGGTATTTTCTACTTATAGTATAGATATCAGGAGCTCGTTTACTCATTACCCAGCATGGAGAGGAGATGTTGATGACAGGAATCATTTTGGACCCACTGTGTTGAAAAGGGTATCACTGGTCTTTCTTTCCATATACAGAAAGACAGACATCCCTCTGCTACAGATACTCTGTGACTTGTTGCCGTGAATAATGAATGTCTTTATATCATAGTTACTGCGGGAAGGCAATCTGTGAGCACCTGAGCTCAGTGTCACTCCATTCAAGTAACCCAACTGAGTTGATTACCTTGGAAGTCTTGAGTAAGAGTGTTCATACTTCATCTGAGAGGTAGAGACAAAGACAGAGACGCCTGTATGTGCTACACCCCTTGGGGAAGTGTTCTACTAGGCCCAGCTCAGGTAAGAGCAAGTTCCATAAAGAAAATAAAGGAGAATCACAGGGACCTGGGTATCCTTTGGAGCCATCTGCTTTCAACAGCAAACACTTCCTTAGAGAAGAGAAGGAGCCGCCTCAGCCACTGACTAGCTGTGACCTTAGGCAAGTCACATAACTTCCTTAGACCTTAATTTTCTCATCTATAAAATGACAAGGTTAGATTAGATGACCTCAGGTCTCTTCCTAACTCTAACATTCTACGATCCCAGAGTATTCGAGCAAGGATTATTCACATCAAAGCCTTCTCTTCCTCACATCTTCAGCACATTCCAGTCTAGCCCTAGGTAGACAGGTCCAGATAAGGTAAGTGAGACTCACGTTTTTCATTGTGCTTGGGAGCCCTGAATTTTGCTTGGTATACCTAGATTAATTCAAAGGTCAATCTCATAGGGCTCCCTATGAGAGGTATAAAAAACCAAAATGGATTCCAGCATTCCTGTTACACTTCACCTAAGTCCAAACACCTAGAGTAGTGCCATAGCTTACTATACTTTGCTGTCGTGGGTTCCAGGGCATAGGACAATGCCTAGCATGTAGTAAGTGCTTACTAAATGTTTACTGATTGACTGATTTGACAAGAGGCCAAAGTGCAGCTCTTGATCCTATCTCAATCCACTCTAAAGAACAGTCCAGAACTAGGCCAAGTGCGAGGATCACAGAATGAAAATGTTTCTACCCTGATAAGCATATGCAATAGTGGACTGCAAGGTGGTGGTAGTGTGGCAGAAGCAGGACACTGGGGTCTTTGGTGGTGATTTATAAGGCCTGAAGCAACCCCATCCTCTCTAGAGGCAGTTTGTCCCTTTTCCCATCCCCTATAATTGGCATGAGAAGAGTTAATGTGATTTCTATTGACATTTCTGTAGTTTGTTCCGAAGAGAAGCTTTCTAGGAGTTGTCTAGCCATTTAATACCTATGTTTACAATAAAATCTTTTCAATAAATATTTAGTGCCTACTACATGCAAAGCTTTGTTGTAGGCAGTAGGGATGCAAAGTTAAAATGACACAGACTCTGCCCCCTAGGAGCTTACATTTCAGTTTGCAGGAAGGGGAGAGATGACCTGTACAGAGTGTCTAGAGCCAAAAGAGAGAGTGAGCCAAGAGCCCTAGGGCCCTTATGAGGAAGAGAAGAATGCTTTCAACTGGGGGCATCAGGGAAGAATTCAGGGAGGTGATGGCATGTGACCTGAGCCTTCAAAGGAGAAGATTCCAAATGGCAAAGATGAGATTGAGGTAAGTTCTAGTCATGAGAGAGAGCATGAAGAGGTGCGCTGAATTTGGAAATGTAAAGTCTCATTTGAGGAATATTTGTTCCAGTTTGGCTGAAACATAGAGTGTGTGATATAAAATAATTATGGAAAGTAATGTACTAGAGGCAATAGTCAATGATGTTTTGAAGGAATGATATAATCAGATTGATGCCTTTAGGAAGTTAATTTGGTACCTGGCTTGGGTGGATTATAGAAACAAGAGGGAAGGAGACTAGTTGGGAATAGCCCAGGAGAGAGGTAATGAAGGCATTCCAGTGGCGGTAGAAATTGAGGTTTTTGTAGAGGTGGAAATCAACAGTGGCAATTAATTGTCTATAGGATGTGGCAGGGAAAAAGAGTCAAGATGATTGAGAGGTTTCCAGTATGGGTGACTACGAAGATGGTGCCATCCACAGAAATAGGGAATGTGTGGAATTCACTTTCAGACATGCTGAGTTTGAGACACAGGACATGCAAGTATCTCTGTGACTGCACAGTTCTGTGTAGAGGATGGGACTAGATAAATACATGTGGGAGGAGATGAGATCACTAGGGAAGTTTGCATAGCAAAGAGAGTCTAAGAACAGAGCCTTGATTCCTAGCAGATGGAAAGACGAGGGGTAATGAAAGAGAGGTAGAGAAAAATGTCATTGAACCCAAGGAAGAATAGAGTGCCAGAGGGATGAGGTTAGTCACCAGGGTGGAATACTAGGGAAAGGTCAGGCAGGGTGGAGATTCGGAGAAGGCTGTGGAATGTATCCATTAGAATATTGAAAACTTTTGATAGTAGTTTCAAGTGGGGTAGTATGATTGGAACCTAGGTTATAAATGGCTAAGAAATGAACATGTAGTGAGGACGTGGAGGCAAAGGGGAGATAGAATGACTTTTTCAGGGGGTTAGCAGTGAAAGGGTGGGGAGATGTAGGGCGATAGCTCAAAGGGGTAGAAGGGTCCAAGGAAGTTTTCTAGGGGAGTACCTGGGAAGCAAGTCGATAGAGCTTGGGAAATAGATTTAGAGTGTGCAAGAACCTAGAGGAGAAGACGGAATGGAATCAAGGGCACAAATGGTGAGGTTAGCTTTGGCTAGAAAGTCCACGTCAACTGAAACTGGAGCAAAAGAGGTTTTGGGGTGTGGAAAAGGGGAGCTGTTGGAGGTCATGACAGATTGTTTCAGTCTTAGTAAAGTAGGAGATCACATCATTATCAGAGCCAAAGGGAAGGGAATGAAATTGGAGACTCAAAGGTTTGAAATGGATGTTGTGGGGGCAGCTATGTGGCCAGAGGATAGAGCACCGGCCCTGGATTCAGGAGGAACTGAGTTCAAATTTGGCCTCAGACACATAATACTTACTAGCTGTGTAAGTCACTTAACCCCATTGCCTAGCCCCCCTCCTCAAAAAAATGGATGCTGTGGGGAGTAATAAATCAAAGAAATAGGATAAATAATTTCCTTACAGTGAGGGCCCAGTTGAGATTAGGTAATCAGTTTGTAATCCTGTATTCATAGTTCTGTGACTTTCCTTAGCAACTCAGGAGAAGACTGATAATGATAGTAACAGAGTGGTGGGTTAGGATTTGAGTGGCAGGCCAAGGTGGTAAGGAATGAAGAACAGGGCCTTATTGAACTGATTAACTGGAGAATTCTTCAAGACTGAAGAGAGGACAGAAGTGATAGTCTGAGACAACCTTGAAGGACTAACATTTCAATGAAGACAAAAATACAAGTTAAAAAAGAGTGGAGTGGAGCCTAAGCAAATTCCTGCTCCAAAATCTGGTTGTTAAATCTGCCGCCAGCCCTCCTAGTTCAAAACCAGTATCTCCCCAAGAAGTGGGGCTAAAAACACTGGTCAGGGGGCAAGGAATTTTAGGGTTCCAGGGGAAGTTTCTGATTGCTGATGAAGTCTAAGCAAAGTCCACCTCTGTGGATGGCTGAGGTGAAATGGGGACTGTTATCATGGAAGTTGAAGCTAGATTAGTCAGGAAGCTTTATTTAGGTCATCACTAAAAATCACTAAATCACTAAAAATACCAGAATCAGTGAGGAAAAAGGCAAACGTTGGAGGTGGAGAATGAAACAGCTAGGTGCTGAACCAATTAAAGAGAAAGGAAAGTTAGTAGATGACAGCAACAAGGATCTCTTATCTGGATAAGAGAATATAGTGGATAGCTTCTAGCTTCAAAGAAAAGTGGTAATAGCCAAGGGAAACTTTTAAAATGGAATAGGGACTGGAAGGGTGCATAAGAGAAACAGCAGCCAATTTTGGGGAGGGTCATAGGGGGTGAGGGGCCTTTGGGAGAAAGCCAGGTTTCAATTATCAACTCGATACAGGAGTGTTAAAGGAAGAAATTGAAGGGGGATTTCACAATGGAGTGGATGCTACAGAGGACATAATGCAAAGGGAGAATAGGGACAGGGCAAGTGGAGGGCTAAGGAGGGTGAGAATAAATGCAGAGACAACAGTGAAAAGAGGTTTTTGTTTCCCCAGGGTCTGGATCTAGAATTTCAAGAGCAAGATATTTACCAGTCATAAAGATGTGGGGAGGAAGGAAGAGGGTAGTACCATGCAAGAAGAGGTCTGTAGACTGAATCAGCCCCCAATTTCTGATTAGGAACGTGGATATGAAGGAGTTTCTTGTATTTTCCAAGTGCAGCCTTTGGCTTGCAAAAATGAAGGTTTAAGGTTGCCCAGTGCTCTAGGGGTAGAGGGTACCTACAACTCACAAGGTGCTGTGCTAACCGCTGGATTGAAAAAGCGGGGAGGGGGTCAGGAAGAGACTTTTAATACAGTTAGGGAGACAGTATACACATGGAAGAGACAGTTTATGCAAGGTGGCAGATATGAAGAGGTTACTGAGTGATACAAGGTAGTCATAAACAGATTGCCACGTTCTAGAGCAGGACTTGCTGATTTGTTGTGAACTGTTCCTTTTTTCCCCTCTGAAGTCCT